AGATGGTCCATCGGGGCCCTTCCAGCCCTGCCAGTTCTAAGATGAACTGCTCGACAGCTCGGTACCACCAGGAACTAGATGGTCCATCGGGGCCCTGCCAGTTCTAAGATGAACTGCTCAATAGCTCGGTACCTTAAGGTCTCTGGAATGGGAACTGAAGTCCAAGAACATCTTGAGGCCCAAGGTTGGGGACCACTGCCTTAAGGCCTCTGGAAGTGGAGCCAGAATTTGGGAGTTTGATTCCCCAATGGGCCTCCTTGACAGGGGCTGGATTCATAGGGTCCCTTCCGGCTCTGCCGTTATAAGTTTCGAAGGCTTTGAGATGTCGAATCTGGGATAGTTTTGAGATTTTGGAGAGAAGATACAGCTCAGGACAGGAAAGCGAGCCAAGGAGTGTAGGAAAAAAAGGAGAATGGATCATGTCCATCATGATGTTCCCTATCAAAGTATGGCCATCGGTTTCTGCAGTTCTACCTCTTTCCTCCTCTTGTCTTTCTCTGCCTTCTTTGAACTACCCAGTAATGAAAGGTTGAGCTGTGTCTTTCCAGGTATTTTGGGGACACCCTACCAGTCCTAGCTGGAGGTTGGCCAGGATGGGAGATGTAGCCCAGCAATACCTGGAGACATGGGCTTTTCCATCTTTAGTAATGCAACATGGGCTTAGGCAATTCCGGAATTGTGAAGGCGTGTCGTGTGATCTTTTCTTCCGGGGTCGTCCATTCTGTCAGCCAGGAAACCTGTTTTGTAAATGTTGTGTGTGCTTTTTTAAAAAAATAATGCACATTCATATTTTATATATTTCTATGGTTTGTTTTCTTTATTTTTGTATTTGTTTTTCTGTGAACTGAGACCCCTGTGAATTTCAATATCGTAACAATAATAAATAGAAAAATGTGGATCTGAGATACAAGTGTTGTTGTTGTTTTTAATTGCCCTTTCCTTCTTTTTTGGGGGAACACCCTGGGACGGTGCGGCTTGCCCAAGGCTACACAGGCTGGTTCAACTCCCAGGAGGAACAGCGGGGAATTGAACTCCCAACCTTTGGCTCCACTTGCTAATGGAGCAAAGCCTTACAGTGTTTATCGCCCAACTTTGTGACACATTCAAATTCCTCGTCCTGTTTAGTCCAGACTTAACTTTTCTTTTCCGTACTGTCTAGCTATAACTAATTACTTGTTAAAAGTAACTTTTCTATGTGCATGAAAGGGTCAGGCTTACATCACCTAGGAAACATATGTATACACGGCATTCATCTATTCTTGTCTTGTTTGTCTACTCTGAATCGATAGCCAGCCCACACCCTCAACCAGAATTCTTGTCCGGCTTCTTATCAACAAAATGAGGTTGGCCCATTAGAAACGAAACCAAACTCAACTCCTCAAATTGGCCGAATACCGTTCCCCAAGAGTGCCAGCTTTCGGGTTGTGCAGAAGTCTTGATTGTGAGGCTTCCTTGGTGATCTCAGACATCTTCATGTGATTTCAGCCTGACCCACCTCTCGGGGTTATTAAGAAAGGGAGATGGAAGGAGGACTGCCATACACACAGCCTTGAGCGTGTTAGAGGACAAAATAGAAATGTAACACATCAGGACATAAATCTGATAACAATAATAATTGAGTGCCGTCAAGTGGATTCTAAATTAGGGCAACCTTTTTAGGGGGTTTCTAGGTATAGAGTGCTCAGAAGTAATTTATCATTCTGTTCTGGGATTCCCCGGGACTGTGCGGCTTGCCCAAGGCTACACAGGCTGGTTCATCTCCCAGGAGGCACAGTGGGGAACTGAACTCCCAACTTCTGGCTCCTCTAAGCGGCACCCAATTCACTGAGTTATCCAGCCAGCCAAGTATATAAATATCTGAAACCCACCCTATTTTTGGGGGGAGGGGAGGGGAATGAATCTGAACCTACAGCGTTCTGCTTGCTTACTCCTGGATTACATTGGTGCCTTGCTAGACGATGATAATCCATTCCACTGAAATCACTGTTTAGCGAAATCATCATCTAGCGAAAAGCATTTCCCCATTGGAATGCATTGAAACCTGTTTAATGCGTTCCAATGGGGAAGAATCGTCGTTGTCTAGCGAACATCGACCATAGGAAAGCCGCTTTGCGAACCGCCAATCAGCTATTTAAATCGCTGTCTTGCGAAGCTTAGGTCCCCAAAACACCCATTTTACGAGTGCAGAGGGAGCTGTCAAAATCGTCGTCTAGCGAAAATTGGTTTGCGAAGCAGGAACCAAACATTGTCCAGCGAAATTCCCCCATAGGAATCACTGTTTTGCGAATCGCTATAGCGATCGCAAAAAGTCAGTGTTTGGCGATAAAACAGTCATGCAGGGTAACTGTCTAGCGAGGCACCACTGTATTCTGAACGACTTCCCCGAACACGTCCACCGGACACCCTCGGATTCTGGATTTTGGTGCCACAACAGCTGAACACAAACAGCCGAAAACATGATTTCCCAGGCAGACGTCACCTGGCATCTTGAAAAACATCCACCGTATTATTAAGCCCTTTAATTTCAGTCTGCGAGGCTTAAAAGGAAAAGCAAAACAAAAGAAAAAAACGACTAATTAAATTGGTGTTTATTGTAACCAGAGCATTTTCATCTCTGCGTGTCATTCTCCTTGGCAAAGTCTTCCCATAATAAGCCACAAAACCGTATCTCATCTTTATTTTTTTTTAAAGTAGATTAATAACAAGCTGAAGCCAAGCAGTAATTTTCTGTCAGCAACAAGGGAAAAAAAGATCAGTTGTGTTGAAATGTCCAATTATAGCTTCTCACCTTTGGGCTTTTTAAGATGATTATTGGTTTCGGGGTGGGGAGAAGCCAACTTTTCAGAGATCTAATTGCGTTTGTACCCAAGGGGAAAAGTCAAAATGACATGAATCCATACACGTATCTCTATCTGTACGGGCTGCTTGGTGCTATGGGGATTTTATTGGTATTAACTTGTCTCTTGTACATGTCTTTAGTAAAAGGGTTTTGTTTTATTCGAAGCATTTATCCTGCTCTCAGTAAGAGGCAGTCACGACAGTGAAATTATTACCACTAACAAATCTTTAAAAAAAATACAGCTAGAAAACACGAAACATATAGCGAACCTACTTTCTGTTCAAACTCACTGGGTTGCTTTAGGCGACAAGACATTGAATGCAGGGGAAGGTGTGAAGTTTTCTATATAAATAACTGCTGCATTTTTATGTTGCTAGAGGAAGGGAAATTGCACTTGTGTTTCAGTGAGAAATAGTGTGCTAACACAATTATTTGTATAAGCTAAGACTCTCTTAGGAGAATGTGACAAGCTTAAACAAAGGCGAGTAAAGAATCAGGAGCTGGAGATACAAGTCAAAAGTTGTACATGTCTATAAGTTACTCAAACTGAAATTAGAAGGTCTTATTTGGAGTGATATTGGGGAAAAGAATCAATTAGATCTCTGAGGACAAGATCATCTAAAGTCTCTACCCAACAAGAGAGAAAACCATGTGGAAACTTCTTTCAAACCCAAATACAGTGGTGCCTCGCAAGACGATGTTAATTCGTTCCGCGAAAATTGTTGTCTTGCAAAAACATCGTCTTGCGAAATGCAGTTCCCCATTGGAATGCACTGAAATCTATTTAATGCGTTCCTGTGGGGGGGAATCGTCGTCTTACAAAAATCGCCCATAAGAAAACCGTTTTGCGAAGCTGTCAAAATTGCTGTCTTGCGAAAAACCGTCCCTAAAAAAACCGTTTTGCGAAGCGCGGACCCAGCTGTCAAAATCGTCGTCTTGCGAAAAAAGTCCCCCCAAAAAACTGTCTAGCGAAGCACGGACCAAAACATTGTCTAGCGAAAATCGCCCATAGGGGAAAACCATTTTGCGAAGCGCTATAGCGATCGCAAAAACCCATCGTCTTGCGAATTAACCGTTTTGTGAGGTAATCGTCTAGCGAAGCACCACTGTATTTACTTCCCTGCTTGTTAGCTCCCAGATTTATCAGAGTAGCATGCAGTTTAAAAAAAGGACTCAAGGATCTTCCAAGTATTATAGGGCAGTGGTTCCCAACCTTCACCACTTGCTGTGCTAGCCAAGATTTCTGGATGTGGTAGTCTAGGAACATCTGGGAACCCAAGTTGGGAACCACTGCCACAGACCATCAAATCTCAGTATTTCACTCTCTAAAAGAGCAGCGGTTCTCAACCTTGGATGGCCAGATGTTCTTGGACTGGAACTCCCGGAAGCCTTCCCCACTCGCAGTGCCGGCCAAGATTTATGGGAGTTGTAGTCCGAGAACATATGGATGTGGTAGTCTAGGAACATCTGGGAACCCAAGTTGGGAACCACTGCCACAGACCATCAAATCTCAGTATTTCACTCTCTAAAAGAGCAGCGGTTCTCAACCTTGGATGGCCAGATGTTCTTGGACTGGAACTCCCGGAAGCCTTCCCCACTCGCAGTGCCGGCCAAGATTTATGGGAGTTGTAGTGCGAGAACATACTGGGGACCCAAGGTTGGAAACCACTGATAGAGGAACAGTGACCCCAGAATAGTCTTGGCCTAAAAGCAGCCAAGACTCTAAGCTATTTGAAAGTTGGGACACTTGTAAGATTCCCCCCCCCAAAAAAAAGATCATTCCCAATCCAGAAAGAACTTGGAAGGACCTCAGAAATGGCACTAGATGAGCGCCTTCGGGGAGCGTCTTCCCCCAATGGAAGCAACCCCTCTCCTTCTTAAATGACTTGTTCACAGCAGTTGGAATCAGGACATCGATGTGCGTTCTGAAGTTGATCACCTGGCTGATGCAATTGCCTAGGAAAGGGAAGGAAAAACACACCTTGAGTATTGAGTTGTTTTCCTTTCTTCCATTCATTGAGGTTGCCGGGCGCCTGCGGTAAATCTCGTGGTGTGAGGAAGACTGGAAAGTTGTTCTACTTCTTGCTGTTTACCACCATGAAAGGTTGAACCTTAATTTTCTTTTTCTCTCCTTGTTTTGTTTCTTTCCTTTCCTTTTTAGCTGCTTCTGTGCCAATGCCTTCGTATCCAAGTTCTGGATCCGGAAGTTCATCCAGCAGTTCCTCAACGTCCCACCTAGCATCTCCTCCTGTAAGTACAATGGAATATCTTTGCCTCTGTTTTTCCTGCTCCTGAGTTACTCACTCGATCTTCCTGGTGGTGTTTGGCTTCTTGGGCCAGGCTGGCTTCCACTGACTTCAGGACTTTCAGGTGGAAGCAGTTTATAAACATCAGCCTGGCATGGTCGATCCTAGATTAACCCACACAAGGAAAACATCAGAAGAATGTCACAGAGTAGACCAGAAACGGGTTCAGTTCCACTTCCTGTCCCCTGAAAAGCCTATGGAAAACACACAAAGCAGGTTCTCTTTATCTGCTGGCATCTCATTTATGACTTAGAGCAGTGGCTCCCGACTTTGTGTCCCCAGATGTTTTTGGCCTACAACTCCCAGAAATCCTGGCCAGCCCAGCTTGTGGCGAAGGTTTCTGGGAGTTTTAGTCCAAGAACATCTGGAGACCCCCAGGTTGGGAGCCCCTGCTCCAAACCAGGCATAATTTTAATAGACCTTCCACTTCTTTCGTTTCTGTTTTTCCAAACTAAGAATGTCTGGATCTTAGCAATGAAAGAGGAGCAATCCTGAAGTTTGTTGACTCTCATTTTGCTGGTCTTTTGTACATGAAAACAAACCAGCAACCACAGGCAAATACCGTATTTTTCCATGTATAAGACGCCCATCAAAGAGCTGCAGGATCGCTTTGATCCCTGCTTTCCCCTCCACTTGTTTTTGTTCTCTCCTCAGCTTACATCCGTGTATAAGACGACCCTCAATTTTTAAGTCTAATGATTTTAGACAAAAGTATAGTCTTATACACTGAAAACTACGGTACATCAACAGATTGAGCTTCCGCAGGGTCATTATTAGCCACATGACCTGGTCCTTGTTCATGTGATATGGGAAAGCCAAAAAAAGCAGCATTGAGGACGATTTTCAGTATAAAGAACTTCCCTGGATCCTTCAAGAGAGCCTTAGTGGATGTTTCCTGGATTTGGGAGTTCTTTGTCTTGCAATCTTGAAAGAAAACCAATTTTAAGAAGCAGATAACTTGGCAGTTTTAATGTACAGGCAGATTCTTGGTTTTGTGGGAATCCTTGATGCCAGTTTGGGATGGAGACGCCGGTGGACGAGGTGGCACCCAGGGGTCTGTTTCTAACCCTTCCCTTCTCCCAAGCAGTCCCTGGGAGAGATGCCCCATCTGCAAGAGAAGGCCCTCGCATCGCCCACTCAGGGCTCGCCCGGTTTCCTACACGGGTCGAAGGAATCGGCCAGCAGCAGCAAGAACTCGTCCTGTGACACGGACGACTTTGTGATGGTCCCGGCTCAGTTCCCAAGTAAGCCTTGCGGTGCCTCTGGAGGCCGGTTGGGGCCAGGCGGACTGGGGTCAGAGGGATGATGAACGGGGCTGCGTTTGAGGGCTGGATGGAGCCCAGGCGATGACGGCTCTCGTGTGATTTGGTTGCAAGGCAGGAATTGGGAGTCGTACCGTATTTTTCCGTATATAGGATGCCCCCATGCATAAGACACCCCCACTTTTCTAATCCAATATTAAGAAATCTAAGTGGGGCTTAGAAAGTGTAGGGGGAAAGGGATCAAAGAGCTGCAGGATCGCTTTGATCCCTGCTTTCCCCTCCACTTGTTTTTGTTCTCTCCTCAGCTTACATCCGTGTATAAGACGACCCTCAATTTTTAAGTCTAATGATTTTAGACAAAAGTATAGTCTTATACACTGAAAAATACGGTACATCAACAGATTGAGCTTCTGCAGGGTCATTATTAGCCGCATGACCTGGTCCTCGTTCATGTGATATGGAAAAGCCAAAAAAAGCAGCATTGAGAACTATTTTCAGTATAAAGAACTTCCCTGGATCCTTCAAGAGAGCCTTAGTGGATGTTTCCTGGATTTGGGAGTTCTTTGTCTTTTATACACTGAAAAATACGGTACATCAACAGATTGAGCTTCTGCAGGGTCATTATTAGCCGCATGACCTGGTCCTCGTTCATGTGATATGGAAAAGCCAAAAAAAGCAGCATTGAGAACTATTTTCAGTATAAAGAACTTCCCTGGATCCTTCAAGAGAGCCTTAGTGGATGTTTCCTGGATTTGGGAGTTCTTTGTCTTGCAATCTTGAAAGAAAACCAATTTTAAGAAGCAGATAACTTGGCAGTTTTAATGTACAGGCAGATTCTTGGTTTTGTGGGAATCCTTGATGCCAGTTTGGGATGGAGACGCCGGTGGACGAGGTGGCACCCAGGGGTCTGTTTCTAACCCTTCCCTTCTCCCAAGCAGTCCCTGGGAGAGATGCCCCATCTGCAAGAGAAGGCCCTCGCATCGCCCACTCAGGGCTCGCCCGGTTTCCTACACGGGTCGAAGGAGTCGGCCAGCAGCAGCAAGAACTCGTCCTGTGACACGGACGACTTTGTGATGGTCCCGGCTCAGTTCCCAAGTAAGCCTTGCGGTGCCTCTGGAGGCCGGTTGGGGCCAGGTGGACCAGGGTCAGAGGGATGATGAACGGGGCTGCGTTTGAGGGCTGGATGGAGCCCAGGCGATGACGGCTCTCGTGTGATTTGGTTGCAAGGCAGGAATTGGGAGTCGTACCGTATTTTTCCGTATATAGGATGCCCCCATGCATAAGACACCCCCACTTTTCTAATCCAATATTAAGAAATCTAAGTGGGGCTTAGAAAGTGTAGGGGGAAAGGGATCAAAGAGCTGCAGGATCGCTTTGATCCCTGCTTTCCCCTCCACTTGTTTTTGTTCTCTCCTCAGCTTACATCCGTGTATAAGACGACCCTCAATTTTTAAGTCTAATGATTTTAGACAAAAGTATAGTCTTATACACAGGAAAAATACGGTAGTTCTCGTAGGAGAACGATGATGGTCTCTGGATTGTTGGTCTGTTGGAACTGTGGTCTCCTGGACCTCAACTAAACTCTTCCTGTCTTGCTTAGGTGATCTAACCACGGAGGCTGCAGGAGGCAAGCCCATTCAGGACAGCCTAATGTGCAGCGGGTAAGGAAGAAAGGAACCAAAATGTTTCATTTCTGACTTTACTGTAGCAGTAAATTGATTTATTTTATTTTATTATTTACAGGCTGCCTTTCTCCCGATAAAGGGACCCAAGGCAAGTCGCAATATTAAAAGGAATAAAATTACAAATGCAAGAAGTTGAACAACAACAACAAAACCCAGCCAAACTCTTTGCTAATTAAAATACAATTGAATAATTAAAAGCAAGTGAATGTTAAAAGCCCTGTCTTAGACTTGTTATTAAACTTCTTGTTCTTGCTATGAGTCATTAGGTTGTGTTAAGTTGTGTTTTCAAGGCATGTGAGATATTTAAGGAGTGGTTTGACCAGTGCTAACCCCAGTGGGTTTTCATGGCTGAAAGGGGATTTGAACTCGGGACCCTAAACTGCTTCTCAGGCACTTGCTCCTCCAGTGAAATGGGTGATACTGCTAACTCATTTCTTTCAGTAAAAAAAAAAATTGCCCAGCAGTTATTTTAGACCAAATAAAGATGTCTCTAGTTGCAGAGGTCTATGGGTTTTGTTTGAAACTGTGAAATCTTAAAGATTTAAAAAAAGTTATGTATGTTGTTATTCTTATTTTTCAGGAGTTCTCTGGTGACCTCAGCAGGTTTGGAAAGTCAAGGAAGAACGCCATCTCCATCTCCTCCATATAGCAGTTCTCCTAGCCCGTCTGGGTAAGCTTGGGTGGGGAAATTGTAGAGGTCCATGGGCCACATGTGACCTTCCTGGACCTTAGAAGGTTGACCCTCTCCTGCAGCTCCCACCCAAGAAAAATTAAATGAAAATATATATATATAATTAAAAAAGCTCAACTTTTTCATCTGCCCTTCAAAGTCCCTCTGTAATGGTACTCTACGTGTTGTGTTCCCCAGTAGACCCGGCCAGTTCTCCTCCAGTAGCAAATACGGACAGTCGGTTCCTATTCCAGTTCCTACACAGATCCACAACTACCGCCGGATTGAGCAAAACCTGCAGTCCCCCACTCAGTATACTCCACCAAGGTGAGTACCAAGACGTCACAGCCCAGAGAAACAGAGAATCTCACATGGTCTTGTCTGGTCAACAGCTGTCTTGGATACTTTCTGCCCGGCGTAAATGTTGCCCTAGGTCAACGGTTCCCAACCATGAGCCCCCAGATGTTCTTGGACTAAACCTCCCAGAAGCCTTCGCCACTGGCCAGGATTTCTGGGAGTTCTCATTGCAAGAACATCTGGGGACCCAAGGTTGGGAAACACTGTTGTAGGTACAATCTCTGTGGGTTGTGCTCTGAGGGGTTCTAACCTAGACCATTAGTTCTCTAGAAGTTGGGGATCTCCTCAACTGGCAAGTCCAGAGGTATTGGATTGTGGAAACCCAACAGCATCTGGAGGAACAATGGTTGAGGAGCAATGTCTTGGAATAGGTAGACCGTGAATGTCTCAATGAAATGAAAGAGGTTCTAGTCCTCTGTTATAGGTTCTAGTCCTATGAAATGTCACTGAAATTGGTAATCATCTCACTTTGTGTTTATTTATGCACTTATTCTAAGACAGTGGTTCCCAACCTTGGGTCCCCAGATGTTTTTGAACTACAACTCCCAGATATCCTGGCCAGCACAGCTAGTGCAGAAGGCTCTGGGAGTTATAGTCCAAGAAGAGCTGGGGACCCAAGCTTGAGAACCGCTGATCTGGAGAGTGAAAGATTGAGATTGGATGGTCTATGGCAGTGGTCCCCAACCTTGGTCCTCCAGATGTTCTTCGACTGTAACTCCCAGAAGCCTTCACCACCACCTCTGCTGGCCAGGATTTCTGGAAGTTGAAGTCCATCTGGAGGCCCAAGGTTGGGGACCACTGGTCTATGGCAGTGGTTCCCAGCCTTGGGTCCCCAGATGCTCTTGGACTACAACTCCCAGAAATCCAGGCCAGCACAGCTAATGGTGAGTATTTCTGGGAGACGTAGTCCAAGACCATCTAGGGCTCAAGGTTGAGAACCACTGGTCTAACAGAATCGTCTTCTCTTGACTGTTTCTTGTGTGTCTCTGTCTGTGTTTTTTTAATTTCTATACTTATTTATTTCTATACCTAATTATTTCTATACCGTTTTATATAATACATTATCTTTTGCTTGATTGTGCCTTGCCTGGGAACATGTCATTGCAAGTGAGAGAACGGCACGCACAGAGAAAGATTAACTTAATGAGAAACTATTTGATCGTGAGAAAAAAATAAACCAGGAGCCAGAAACTGCAGCTGCTTGGCACGCGTTAACATGCCCCCCAGTTAGCATAACTTCATTGCCCTTCTTTCACGAGCTTGTCAGATGGCGAATTTATGCCTGATGAGGTCACAAGGGATTTTGAAAGAACAGGCTTGTTGTCAAATGGGTCTAAACACAAGACGGAAGAACCTTGAAGCTTCTCCTGTAAAACCTTCCCTTGATTTTGGTTGGGGTTATTCTCATGGAAGTGCAGGATTTTTGGGGGTTCTCTCCTGGAGCTTGGAAAAAATTACTTTTTTGGGCTACAAGCCCCCCAGAATTTTCTAGCCAGCAATGCCGGTGGCCATTCTGGTCAGAGGCTTCCCAGATTATTTCTTTTTAAAAAGGCTAACTTTTGCAAGCTCTGGATAGCTCATTTTAGCCAGAGGTTGGGAGTTCTAGTCTCCCCCCCGGTGCCTCCTTGATAGGGGCTGGACTGATGACCCATAGGGTCCCTTCCAGCTGTGCAGTTTTGAGATTATTATCTTCCTTCTTTATTCATATATTATTTTAGTGGTATTTAATACTGCTTTCCCCTTTTGCTTCCCCGTGTGTTTAAAAATCACACAACATGTTTTTGATGGCTCCTTTCCCCGCCCCCTCTCAATCCCTCGACCGAGAAGAATCTGAAGTGTATGTCTCTGGATTTGATCTCATCCTTCACCTGCCTTCTGGCGAGTGTAGCCTAAAAGAGGCAGCATGTTTTAGCTCTGATGTCAACCCCGCTTCTAAAAACGTCTGGCTCCGATCTGCACTCCCCGCATATACAGAGCAGGCTGCCAACGAGTGGTGTCACTCTGTTCTCTTTACGTTTTGTGCCGCAGCTGTTAAGAACACTGCAAACAGCTCAGGACCACTCTGTTCCCTAAAGGAAGCTAGCCGATCGTTGCCTTCCCATCTATAATGCTGGAGATTTCCTGTTCAGGGCCATCTGGCGATGGGTCCAAAAATTTTGAAAATAGAGATGGCCACAAACTGTTGGTTGAGCGGTGATTTTGAAAATAGAGATGGCCACAAACTGCTGGTTGAGCGGTGTGTGCCAGTTCATTTAGTTGGCCGAACAGGATTTTCAGTGCTTCGAAGCCCTGCCTCCTCTGACAGGCGCCCCCCCCCAGTGCCCCGACTCCCCTGTTTGGACACTAAATGAAGTGGCACAAATGAAGTGGTTCAATTCGTGCCCATCTTCAAAACTCTGGCAATGAAGGTTGGAAATTCAGTGAAGAAGAAAAAGGTGTTATGGGTCTTTGTCCAATCTGACCCATCTTTGCGGACAAAAATTTTGGCTGACACCCCATAGGTTGGTTCAGTGTTTTGTACTGTGATGTGAGAAATGCCATGTTCTGGGAGGTGAGATTGCTCATTAATACCCTTAAATTAAACCTTGTTTGTCTTTCTATGTTCTCAAGCGTAATCTGGTCATTTCCCCCTCCCCTCTTTAGATCCAGTACGGTCAAGAGATCCAGCAGCACGAGCCCGCTTGGCTTTTTCAAGGCCAGCCCTTCCCCTCCCTTTGCTGCTGGAGAGCACGGAGCAGCCATGGCAGGCCCTAGAAGATTCTCCTTTGGTGGCGCCAAGCCTTACATGCCATCCCCGCAAGGTAGACTATTTTGTGTGATTTCATTGTGGGGGGAGGATAACCAACTAGAGATGGTTTTTGCTGGCGTTCTCCCTAGAATTCTCCATTCTAAATTGTGCTCACCTGGAGAAAAGCCGGACCGGAAGACTTCCTCTCCTGGGAGAGGCCGAGTTCTGGCCTCACTTCCTGTTGGGAAAGGAAGTTTGCCTCAGCGCTTGCTGGGCACTAACGGAAAGCTAAGCTGGAACTTGGCCTGCTTTGAGACCATAAAGACATCTAGCTTTTGTACTTGGGTGGGAAATCTGAAATCTTGGTGCCTGAAATCTTGGACAACTGCTGCCAGCCAGAGTTGGCAGTGTTAAGTTAAATGGACCATATGTCTGACTGAGGAAAAGACAGCTTCTTCTGTTCTTGAAGGACTGTGGGAACTGTTGTCCAAAATCTCTATGGTCAGAATTTCCAAGCTCTCTTCCTTCCTTCCTTCCTTCCTTCCTTCCTTCCTTCCTTCCTTCCTTCCTTCCTTCCCCTCACCCCCCCCCTCCCCCCCTTCCTTCCTTCCCCT